GGAGAAATTCTCTCTCGGTCACTCATGGGAGGTAAAGGGTTAAATTTGGTAAACCCTATCCCAAAGGAATTTTTACTCGTGTGCATTGAGTTTTATATTCTACCTCAAATTCTTAATGTTTTTCTTTATCTGAAAATTCTAATTTAGGAAAGCAAAGCAGAGGAAGTACGACGACGAATGAAAGACTAGAAACGGATCCTTTGCGAAGATTCTACTTCTGGTGCATTGCCTTAAACAGGAAATCTGATACTGTCAACAAAAGAATTGAACTGGAAAGGAGAAACTAAACCAAACCTTTTGAAATGTATGTCAATATTCTGATTCTAAATCGATTAGAAAAATTGTTAAATGTCATATTTTACAAATTTTTTTTTACACGAAAACGCTTTTGAATGACAATGGTTTTGATTGAACTGATTTGTCAGAGGACTAGCAGGTTGCGCCAAAGACTCCATTTTGGTAATCAGTAAACAGAACATTTAAACAAAACAAAGTAAAACAATAAGGTATATCCAGGAGGAAGTAACTGAAAAAGAAAATTTTTCAGACAGTATTTCATTATAGAGGATCGCTAATTTGTTTAATAGTCTCATCTGAAAATGCTTAGGTTGGGAGAATTAAACGTAGTTATGAAACCCGAGACAGAATTAAAGGTTTGCTTGACCCGTAACTCTCGATATCTGATCGGTAATTCTCCTCTCTAGCTGCTACGCATATCCTTGTAAATTATTTACGAGAATTTGGTGTTAGATCAAGATAATATCTTCTACCTGATAAGTTTGAAGATTCTCATTAGCTGTTTGCCGGATAATGCAAGTATATTATGGGGAGAAGTTTTATGTTGATCACTTCTAGGAGTTAAAGGGTTAACAGAACCCTTCCAAATAGACACACGGCAATTTGGAACTGAAAACTTCTCAAGAAATATATCGAAGTTAGTCCTCAGAATGTCAGCGTAATTCCAATAGTTCGTTCCACTTTGTTTCCTCTTTTTGCGTAAACTCTTCGATCGAGCACGCACTTAACGAAAAAGTACGAGCTTTTCTTGCCTTTTTCCTGTGCTACGAATTTTCGTGAAAGGATGAGTTTTTTCCTTTTTCAAAGGCTGTGTTTTCATTATCTAATCTTGTTCCTGTTTCAATATAAGACAGTGTTCGCTTTCGTTTTTTGCTGATCGAATAGATGAAGTTATCCATGATGAGGACTCGAATCATCTTTACCTACCCTTTTGATCTGTGAAATTGTTGAAAACCTTAACCCTCAAAGTCATTAAACTGAGTTGTGTTTTTACAAGAAAAAAGTCGGCAACTTGTGGACTAGTGTCACTCTTTTATCCCCTGGAAATAATAGTCGTTACCTTTTTAAATTTTCGTACTGTTTTGTTGTTCTTCCAGAACTATATTATGTTCTGCAAGCCTTGCTTTAGATTAGCTGGGCACAAAAGTTTTCTTACAAGTAATCAAATATTTTTTAAATATACATCTTAATTATCAAGAGGTCTGGATAGAAGCAGATGTGTAGCGAATTTAAGAAAATGAAGGACACTTTTAAAAACATGTTTTGACAGTTCTTCTGTCATCTTCAGTTCTGAATAATAAAAAGTCCAAAGCTGAATTTGAAGTGTGTTACAAAATATCTTAATTACAAATGATGCAAGCCTTAAGCCTTTCATTTCACAGTGTTTTTTTTTTATATGATCTGCGTCTTGCTGTTTATCTTGTGAATTAAATTGCAAATAAACATTTTCATTGAACAAGTTTTCATATGTGTGGTTGGACTTGTTAATAAAACCAAGTCGAGAAGCGACCATCGAAGCTGCATTTCACTCGAAAATCCCTCCAGATAAGCGAATCATAATCACTTAGCCAATTAAAATAACACATTCAAGATAAAGGAGACATTAGGTGGAGGGAGGCGTTCAGAACACTGAAATACCGCAAAACAATTCGGCAAATTTTGCTACGTCAGAAAATCGCGAAAAAAGAAAAATTCGCCAAATACCAGAATATTTGAATATCGAGTCAAAACTCGATGTCATGCCGAAACTACATCTCTGTATATTACGTTTAGTGCAAATAACACAGAAATAACAATTAACAATTTGTTAATTAACGTTTAGTCAGATAATTTTCGATTCGATTGTGATTTTCTGAAGGAGCCAAAGGAGCGTATAAACATCTTTGTCTTAAGATCAAGATGTATCGTTTGAGTTTCATTTTTGGGTGAATCTCACCGCTTTTTGACCACTTTGACCTCAGTATTGCTGCGAAACTTCATTGTGCTTCAACAAAGATTTGTAATTTCGCAAACCAGGACTACAAATGGGTGCGACAACACAACTCTATCAAGAATTTCAACGACTACTTACTCAGCCTTCCCCCCCACGATTTATCTGTGAACACTTCTCAAGGACCGTCGTTATTTATCGCCCGGGAAAGGGGGGAAGGGAGAAATTTGGAGGATTTTGGTTGTGTCACGAAAAGTTTTACCTGATTTCCTCCCCCCTCCTCCCCTCCCCAAAGTTCTCTAATATTCTTATGATGTCCCCTTAATGGACGTTAACAGACAGTCAATGTTCTATTGTCCCCTATTAATACCCTGTTGGCGAAAACTGCCCCCCCAGGCTCTCTAATATTCTTATGATGTTCCCTTAATGGACGTTAACTGACAGTCAATGTTCTATAGTCCCCTCTTAATACCCTTTTGGCTAAAACTGTCCTCCCCCCCTCCCTTCATTCCCCCTGCAAACCATGTGATATCCCCAAAACCCTTCACCTTCCCCTCCCAGGAGATAAATAATAACGACTGGTGTCCTGCCGGAACCATTTTAACCAAAACTGGGTACAAACCATCTCTTAGGAAAACTGATATTTTCTGGGTAGCATTGAAAGAGGTGCAGGTTTTTCCATATTCTTAAGCAAGGCACTTGACAATACGTTTACTTATCTTGGTCTTAATTCTACATCGTTCAATATTTCTAAACTTCCTTGGACGAACGCAAAGTCTCAGCCATTTCATAGTCGAATAAAATATGTCAACGGTCAAATAACCATCTCCCTGACTTTGGTATTCTCCCAATAGAAGTCATGGAGCATTTTTCAACAGGATTTCGATTTATAAAGTGGAACGTTCGTTCTGTTGCCTCTCAGACTTTAAGGAGCACTTTTTATAGATTGAAGTATTCTTTAGAATATTTTATTTTCTTCTGTCCTCCCAAATTTTTCCAATCTATTGGGCTACGTTTAGGACCCGTGTTGCGCCTACAATGCACCTCGAAACGCATACTGAATGCAGTTCCCTGTGCAAACGTCTCTCGGCTTGAGGGGAGAAGACACGAGTTCTTCTCATTTGTTTCTTTAGAATCTGGAATAGATTCAAGTCGTTTTCAAGACCACTCAACCCATAGAACCGCTCAGAATACCGAGAGGTCTGGGATCTAGATCTGGTTGGGTCATTGTACTGTATTCACAGTGCCTCTCTCCAATGAGGAGTGTAAATGGATACAAATGGACAGCTGAGGAAGCCTGACTAAACGCTAAGAGGTTACCTGCCCTTGGAGGTGTCGGTTAATCTCGTACCCAGATCATATCGTTTAACTTTAACTGAAATGTACAACCACTTGGCGGTGGATGGTCTGGGTACGAGACTAGGTATCAGTATGACAATACTTGACTTTATTCCTATCGATGGCAAACTCCAAAAATTCACAGCTGACAAAGGCTCGAGCTTAAAAGATACACATCGACTACAAGGCTTCGTTCAACGAAAGAAATATCGCATTAGCAACAGTACGATAATTCTGCAGTTTGTCTGTGATCATTTGCGTGAGGTTTTCTGAAGTTTCAAAGACTGGAAGACTTACCTAAAAGAAGTCCCACAGAGAGTCAGGAGTTACAATATTTTCCTGGCTCTCGTGATTGTCTTCTTTACGTGGGTCTTGTAATAATACTTTTAGATTAAAAAAATTTTGAGTAGTTATCAATTTGAGGAAAGATAATCTCAATTTGTAACAAAGTACTTTATGATCTAGGAAAACCATCCAAGTTTAATTAACATATATATGGCTGCAAATTTTGCAAATCAAATTTTTAAAATTAAAATTCCGCCAACTTTTGCAAACAACGAGCTGTTTCTTAGCTTATCAAAAGCTCAGAGTATAAACGAAATTAAAACCTGGTGGAAAAGCTCTTGCTCATGTACAAGAAAAAACTTTTCAACTGTTTTCCATACAACTGATTGTAATACAGGAATAGAGCAGAGTGTCATTTTGGCGAAAATGAAACCTCGTAGTCGCCTTCAACTACTGAAGGCATTCATAACAGAAGGCTTGATGCATTTTGTTCTCTTCGCATACATTTAAATTTGTAAAAGTAAGAAAAAAAGACAATTCCACTGATCAAAATATAATGAAATAATCTGTTTTTATTTCTTCACCAAAGTAAAGTTACACATCTCAAGTTCCATTTAAAAAAAATAAAAAGTAATGAAAGATAGCCAAAAATTTCCAAAACAGAAAACCATTTAAAGCTACCAAGTTCCTGTGTCATTCTTTTTCAAATAAAAAATTCATTTGCTTGATTTTGTATTAAAATGTTCTCTTTCCTTTGCCATGAAGTCAAGAGTGACGTCATCTCCAATCAGCAAAAAGGGCGCCCAGTATTTGATGTCGCGGAACTCGTCTGATTCTCTAAAGCTCTCCATGGCCAGGTTTACCTTCTGCAAGGTGTTGATAAAAGCATTTCATGAACTCAAGAGTAACCTTGTCTTCAACCACCCACAAGGACACCACAACAGACCGAGCACCAGCACCCATAAAAGCGCGCGCAATGCCAACCACACCTTCAGCCTTGATCTCGCCCCGACCACTGTGGCAGCAACTAAGTACAACTAGCTTGGCGCGAAGTTGAACATTCAACACACCTCAATTGTAAAATGTAATCCTCTTCTCTTGGCACAGTAGATTTTCGCTTTGGGTCAGGTGTAAGAGCAATTTCGCCAGTTTACATGCATCCGTGTGCCGCAAAGTGAACTAAGGACACGGAACTGATTCTTTTCAACACCTCACGTTTCGTGGCCTGTCTGCCAGTGATTGGGGTGATATTCAGAATTTTTCCGATCATTTCTACTTCTTCTTCAGAAAACGGAAGCTGCTCGAGGAGTATTTCTCCCTTGCTATTAGTAACCTCGGCTAAACACGGATTTCCAACGAGTAACGCACCACTGCTTTTGTGATAATCATCTGGGCAATCGGCAATGAGTCTAAGACTTGTTAACGATGGAGCGAGTCGGATTCTGAACGATTCACACAGGTATTTAGAATTATCATCCTTCAATGCAGCGTAAGAAGCGAGCCATAGGGGTCCATCGGGAATAATAAGTAGCTCATCCCCTATCAGCAGGTCAGCCACCGGCTTCATGACGGTATCATACAAAGTGCTCAAGCATTTGTTTTGTTGGATGGGAGGTTGAGGGTTTTCTTCTTTAGTTTTGTCATCCACTTTCGAACGGCTCTCACTCAAAGCATCCAAAGATCGATTCTCGCATCTCACATTAGAACGAACACCAAGTTGTGTATAAATACCGAGCATGAACGACTCAAAGTACTGGCTGGCTCCACCATTCTCCGAAACAGAACCATTGAATTTACTTTGTCTTAAATGAACTTGTTTTCCTTCAGACACAACCCAAAGATTGATGTCAGCTTTGTCCACTGCCTAAAAGACGGTGTGAAAACAGGGTTTTGCCTTCACAAATGAACGGACGGACGGGGATAACTCTTAAAACTCTTGTGGGTAAAGGCTCTGCTTGGGGGCACTCGCTGGCTGCGGGGAGGTAACCGGAATCTATTACGGTTGCTGACTATCCTTGAGAGAATGACTAACGACAACAGGGTTGGCTCCAACGTAGATTTATTCCGCAAGCTCGACTACAATTTTGACCAGAACGGACCTGGCCAGGGCTGGTTCGACCCCGTTCTACTCCCTAACTTTCTCACCCAACTCCTAAGCTTTACAGAACAGTCCTATTTAAGCCTAACGTACATGGATAACTTAATGTCATGAATAATCTAAAGGATCATGTAATCTATTACACTATTGGCTAAGTAGGAATTTCGTCTTTTACAATATTAATTACTTCAAAGAGTTCCGGTGGATAACAGTTACACAAAAGGACATGACAGGTGGCTGTTACAGTTTAACACTAATAACAACTGTTTACGGGTGACTGAAGGAGAACTGGTAGCGTTTACGCTTTGCTGATCTAAGCTTTCTACGTTGAATATTGTATTTTTGAAGCGTAAGCATGAAAGAACTCGATAACTAAAAATCCTATCGTTACATTCCTCCCACCTTAAATCGAGACCTCCTGGTCGAGCGAAAAAGGAGAAGGCATAATAAATACAAGAAACGAAAAAAAACGCAGCGAAGTAAAACTATAGGGGTGTTTTTGTTTGTTTGTTTGTTTTATGAATTTTGTATTTGATTTTGTTTTGTGCCTGAACCGCGGCATAAACCGAACAAGCCGAAATATAATGGCCTCGGGGGTTCAAATTAAGCAACAAGCAATTACGGAAAGGTAATCACAGCTTTCGGTTGAACAGACAAAGCTGCAATTATAGGGGTGTCAGTCGGGGCGTCCACCATATTCAAAGGTGCTATTCGTGCATGAAAGTTTGAATCCTGGAGGCGATTAGCACGCGGATGGTTCTTGTAGAAGGTCGCGATCAAGCGCTTGTCCAGAATGTTGTCAGCCGGTTCCCAAGAGTTTTGACTCGACGGAAACCCTAGCCATTTAATCAAGAACTGGTGTTCTCCATCTGTCATCCTTTGTTTGAGCAGCTTCTCAACTTGGTAGACGTTGTCTGGAACTGGGGTAGGGTCGCTGGATAAGCGTGGAGAATCGTCCTCCTGAGCTTGTAACACCGAGGGAATGGGGCTCCTGGTTTCAGAGGTTTGCGAACGAGTGAGAGGAGCAGCCTGGGGACGAGTTTCCTGAACAATAGGAGAGGAGCCAGTCGCACATTCGTCGGTGTCCGGTGCTGGTTGTCCAGTGTTAACCTCTTGGTCAGGGGTGGGAAATTCAAGAAGCACTTCATTGTTGTCCGTTACAAAGCTGTCCGACGGTAAATCATTCTCAGCCAAATAAGATTCTTCAACAAGCTCTGGTGGTTGGCGAATAGGGCGCGAATCCGGTGAAACGTAACGCTTGAGACGAGAAACGTGGACGGTAGTGGAGACACGGCGGTTGTCGGTGGCCCGTAAGATACAATGAACTGGGGACAAGAATTCAACAATCTTGTAAGGTCCATGCCAATTATGGGCTAATTTCTTAGATAACCCCTTCCGATTGCGCGGCGTGTAAACCCAGACACTGTCACCAACTTGATGCCTGATAGGAACGGCGTGAACATCATGATAATCTTTCATGCGCTGCTGAGCGCGCTGTATATTCTCTTTTGCAATGCGATGTGCAATCTCGATGTTTTCTACTACTCGTGCGCGATGTTCCGCAATTGAAGCAGAGACTTCTCGAGGCGGAAGCATGGAAACATCCATAGGGAGTCTAGGTTGTCTTCCATAGAGTAGGAAAAAGGGCGATTCACCAGTTACTTCCGACGGTGAGACACGATAGCCGAAAAGTACTGGGTTTAAATAGCGGTCCCAATCTTTCTGAGAAGAATTGACGTAGTGTGATAAGCTCTGTGCTAAAGTTCCGTTGAATCGTTCGACAAGGCCGTCGCATTGAGGATGATAGCTTGTTGTAAACGTTTTCTTTGTATCCATGAGGAAGCAAACCTCCTTTACCAAGCGGGAGAGAAAATTAGACCCTCTGTCTGAGAGCAATGTACGAGGGGCACCATGACGGGGTAGAATTTCATTGACCAACAAGTCTGCGATTGTCGGGGCATCAATCGTGGGTACAGCAAAGGCTTCTGGGTAACGGGTCAGATAATCAGAAAACACGACAATGTAGCGATTTCCAGAGTCACTCACAGGAAAGGGGCCAAGGCAATCAACAGCTACCCGATCAAAAGCACCTTCTACTGGTATCGGTAAGATGGGGGCTGTCTGTCGCTGTTTAGGGCTTTTCTTCATCTGGCAATGTGTACAAGAAAGACACCAAAATTGTACGTCTGCAAACATTTTAGGCCAGTAGTAACGTTCACGGAGTTTCTCATAAGTCTTGTTCACTCCTAAGTGACCTGCCAAGGGATCGTCGTGACCTCCAATCAAAATTTCCTGCCTTAGCGAAGTAGGTATGACCAGCTGAGAGCGAATCCCGGGGACACGTCGACCTCCCGGTACCCAAATGTGACAGAGGAGTCCATCAGGGTCCAAATAATAGTTGTCAATGGAATGCAAGACGGCTTTTGCTGCAGTACTGTTATTGGGCAGACTCTCTTCCTCTAAGTAGCTAATGATGTCAGCCAAGGTGTGGTCTCGACGTTGAGCGTCTCTTACGCGGTCAACCTGTACACCGGGCTGATCGAGGGCGGCAACGACTGATTCGTAGGGTCGACGAGAAAGGGCGTCAGCGTTACCGTTGGTCGGCCCAGAGCGATGCTGGATAGTGAAGTCGTGTTGCTGCAGGAGAAGGGCCCAACGTGCCAGACGACCGGTAGGTTCCTTGATGTTCATCAACCAACGGACAGCGCTGTGGTCAGTTAGTACTGTAAACTGCCGTCCATACACGTAATGTTGGAATTGTTTAACCCCTTCAACAACTGCCAGGGCTTCACGTTCCGTGACGCTGTAGTTTCGTTCGGCGGGATTCAACTTCCTTCCGGCGTAAGCTATGACGACTTCTCTTCCGTTCTGCTTTTGGCCAAGTACCATGCCTATGGCATCATTGCTTGCATCGGTGGCCAGCTGAAAAGACTGCGTGAAGTCAGGATAGGCAAGTATTGGAGCTTCAGTGAGGGCCTTCTTTAACGTGTCAAAAGCCTTTTGACAATCCTCAGTCCAGAGGAACGACGCACCCTTCTTTGTCAAGTCATGTAACGGACTGGCAACCTGAGCGAACCCCTTGACAAACTTACGATAATAATTTGTCAGGCCCATAAACGCTCGTACCTCTTTGGCGGACGTTGGGGCAGGATATTCCTGAACGACCTTGACTTTCTTGGGATCTGGTTGTATTCCCTCGGTAGTGATCACGTGACCCAGGTAGTTTACCTCCTTTTGCCCAAAATGGCACTTACTCGGCTTGAGTTTGAGGCCAGCCTCGCGGAATCTGTCGAAGACCAAGCGTAGATGGTGTAGATGGTCCTCGAAGTTTTGAGAGTATACCAATACATCATCAAGATAGATGAGTGCAATCTGCCAGTTGAGTCCGCGTAGAACACATTCCATTAATCGCTGGAAGGTTCCAGGGGCATTGCAGAGCCCAAAAGGCATTGTGGTATATTCGTACAGTCCTGCATGCGTGACGAAAGCAGTCTTCTCACGAGAAGCGGGGTCCATTTCAACCTGCCAGTATCCCGAAATCAAGTCAAGACTCGAAAAGAACTTGGCTCCTCCTAAGGCGTCAAGGCTTTCGGATATCAACGGTAGAGGATAAGAATCCTTTTTGGTTATCTTGTTAACCTTACGGAAATCCACACAAAATCTGGAAGAACCATCAGATTTAGGCACGAGGACAACTGGACTGGCCCATGGAGATACAGACGGTTGGATGACGTTACGGTGAAGCATGTCCTCAATGTGTTTCTCTATTGTCTCTTTCTGAGCATAGGGCACCCGGTAAGGGCGTGATCGTATAGGCGGGTGGTCACCTGTCTCAATATGGTGCTGGACGATGTTCGTGCGGCCAAGCTCGTCGGGGTGTATTGCAAAAATATCTCGGTAGTCTTGGAGGAGCTCTCGCAGACGCGACTGTTCCACGGACGACAGTGCAGAATTATCCAGATCAACCGGGACTGAGTCCAATGTTCCTGGATTCTGTGGATCCGTAGCAGATTCTTTAAAAGGGAGTACTCCGGAATCTCCGTAGGCTTCGGAAAAAGTGCCCAAGGTAGCACCTTTTGCAGAGTGACTGGTTGACTTGTCGGGTTAATGAGACGGAACGGCACCGTGTGATCATCTGCAATCTTTACCAAAGCAGCTGCTCCCTGTAGCTGATAACGCTCTGCCATTTGTGGAGAGGATTCTACGAGACCGGTAACACCAGGTGCGGTCTTTACGAGTATACTAGCTGGAAACACTACTTCACTTCTGGGCGGAATAACGTACGTTGATGGTGCTACCACTGCCACTAAAGCGTCCGAAAAGAGTACTGTCGGGGGATTCTTCAAGGCAATTGTTAGAGTTTCAAAACTGATTTGTGCCTGTTGGGCATAGCAGAAATCTCGGCCAAGGACTCCTCTGTAGTCCAATCCGTCTATCACTTTGAAGTCACAAGGATATTGACCACCAGCAATTTCGATGTCAGTCTGTAGGACTCCCCGAATAGGCATAGGCTGACCACTAACAGTTCGAATTGAGTCCATGGCGCTTGGCTTAAGGGGTGGTATTTTCCCGTCATATAAGTCTGCGAGGTGCTTTGCATCTAACACAGATATGGCTGCTCCAGTATCCACTAGACAACGCATAGTTTTACCATTAATGCCCACCTCGACCATAAGTTCTCCAGGTTTGTCCCTCTGGGTGGAGTTGGCAGCCAATTTCTTCTGGGGTGTGCTCGTAATGTCACCACTGCCAGGGATAGTAGGAAGGGACTGGTACTCTGGTGTAGTCCCTATAGCTGGTTGACAGGCCGGCACTAGCTTCGTGCCACTGGCGATATGGCGATTCGTAGTCGATGGTACCTCCTTTTTGACATCAATGCTTGATGTGCCCTTGCCTTCAGTCATTTTTCGATGATCTGGGCGAGTCTCTTCATACACATTTTCTGCAGCATCTGGATTTTCTGCAGGGACATCACTAGAGGCTGGAAAATTCTGTAATGGCATTTCTGTCGTCTGTGACAAGATATCTCTAGGGCGTGGGCCTTCTTGCACACTTCTGGGTGGCTCCAAACGGTCGGCCAACTGGCGCGCAGTTTCCGATTCGGGAGGTGGCGTGAAATCTTCCTTTGGAAGCCCATTTTCTAATTTACATTCCTTCTCTAACTGGAAGCTAGTGGCAGTTACAGGAGATGACTTGAGAGGATCTGAGTCTAGGTGGCCAGCGATTTCCTCTCTTGGCAGTGACTGGGGCCCTCGTTGCGCAAACTGGGCGAAGTATGGCTGAAACTGGTGAGTTGCTGAGGTATAGGGGGACTCTCTCCGTATGGACGAGATACTGGAGGGTGGCATCGTGTCTTCGGCATATGGTGCTGTATCAAAGTCACCTACTCCATCGTAAGCTAGATCGACGTTGTAATGTTCATCATCATAATCCCATTCATCCACTTCATCATTTTCTAGATCGTCAGCATAGTAACCATAGTTATAACTCATTCCATTATAAGGCTCATGGTAAAAGGGCTCTTCGGTGTGCAGATTCGGAGCTCTGCTTGGTGTGGCATCTATCATGTAATGTCCCGAAGGAGCAACACCGTCATTACCCAGAACAGCAACACGGTTCTGACTCTGCGCCGAAGGCAGCGCTCTCAAGCGTGACTGTGGACCAGCGGAATAACGCACATTGTTGTTAGGAGCGGTGTTTGGGTACCTGGGTACCAGTTGACGCTGGTCAGTATCTCTTTGGGGGCAACTGTTCTGAAAGTGTCCCATCATTCCGCAGCGATAACATACTGGTCTACCATCTCTTGATCTTTCTCGGTTACCCCGAGTACCTTGTCTGCGTTGTGCTAGACCATTTATGCGTGCGTCAAATCGTCGATCTAGGTTTTTAATTTGGTCTTGTAACTGACCCTCCATACGCTGCATAAGGTTCGTAAGCTCGTCCAGTTTTCGTTCATAGTTTCCTCGGGGCTCTGAACACGCAGCAACCTTGTGTGTGGTTATAGGTGTCAGGCCGTCTAGTCCTTGAGTCAATTTCTCAAGATGAGCTTGAATAAGTTGAGGCTGAAGGGTATTACGAGCACTATTAGATGGTACTTGAGCTGGTACCTGCTGGCTACGGTTGAGCGCCTCGATCAATCGCTCGATCTGGTCACCCTCTTTAGTGGTATTCTCACGTTGAGATATCGAATTAACGGTCCTAGCCACTTCCTCTGCTTGTAAAAGCGTTTCTGGCATTCGCTCGAGCACTTTGATTTTCAGTGGTTGGGTTAGACCCTCAGTAAAATATGTGACTTTGTCTACCTCGGCCATGTTTAGCCCGCTAAATAGTTCGTGCATGTCATTGATATAGTCTGACAATAATTCGTGGGGCCTTGACGGCGAGCAACTAGCCTCCGTCGCTTAACCCAAGCACGGTCCTTAGTCGAATAACGTTTCACCAGGGCCTGTTTTAAAAGCATAAAGCTTCCTCGCTCCTCAGGCGGTAATTCAAACATGAATGTTTCTGCTGGCCCAGCGAGGTTATTAATGAGCTGTGTTCTAGCGGCTGGAACATCCAGTGGAATTCCCTTAGACTCCAAAACCAACTCTAGTTTCTCAAACCAGCGGTTTATGTCCTCGTTTTCATATCCGTGATATTTATTAATGTGAACATCCTTACTCAATAATTTCTGAGTGAGTTCCTGAAGGGCACGGATGTATTCTCCCTCCATGGTAGTTGAAATTGAGCTATCAGCGCTGCTAGAGGTAATCGAACTGGTATCAGCGTCAGTAAGGTTTACGAGTAAGGGACTCGAATCAGCGTTGGGAGAGTCGTCACAGAGTGATCCTCCCTCGTAACTACCACGCTGGAAATGTTCGTAAATGTCGCCAGGTGAAGTAATAATTGGCAACTGTTGTCCACCAGAAGATGTACTGTTATTCGCTACGAAAGTTGTACCAGGTGGCGTGAATGACGTATGATCAACGAGGTGTAATGTACTCTCTGGTACCTGTTGTCCACCTGTCGCAAGGGCGGTATCTGTAAAATTTTCCTCTTCCTGGAAAATGTCTATTTCTTCTGTTAAAGTGTTTATTTCCTCAGTATCCTGGGTATTACCAGGGCACGGTGGCGCCAAACTGTCAGAACTGTCTTCGCTAGTAGAAACTTCGCTGATATCTACAAGTTCCAAGTTGGTCTTGTTAAACTTGTCAGAGTCTCTTTGATGGTTTTCTAATGGCTCAGAATCAGTGTCTTTTTCGGCGGTCGGTCCCTGTCTTACTTCCGGGGCTATGTCACTTTCGTCGAATGGCAAATCGGTCTCAACACAGGCGTCCACTCTCGTAGGTGGTGTGTTTTTCCCACGTAATTTTCCTTTACTTCTCAAATTATATGGGTTGGTCTTCTTTCTGAAAAACCTCGACATGAAATGGGTAACGGTCTCTCTCTCGTTTCGTTTTTGTTGTGTTTTTTTTTTTCTCTTTTCGTTTTGCTATGTAATTCCACTTACTTGGGCGTCTTCTTTCTTGTTCGCTCCAGGGGTCAAACCAACTCTTCGTGAAGCACTTCTCTCTGATAGTCTTTCCGTAATTTGCCGCTCTCCTCTACCAGTGTGAAAACAGGGTTTTGCCTTCACAAATGAACGGACGGACGGGGATAACTCTTAAAACTCTTGTGGGTAAAGGCTCTCCTTGGGGCACTCGCTGGCTGCGGGGAGGTAACCGGAATCTATTACGGTTGCTGACTATCCTTGAGAGAATGACTAACGACAACAGGGTTGGCTCCAACGTAGATTTATTCCGCAAACTCGACTACAATTTTGACCAGAACGGACCTGGCCAGGGCGGGTTCGACCCCGTTCTCTTCTAACTTTCTCACCCAACTCCTAAGCTTTACAGGACAGTCCTATTTAAACCTAACGTACATGGATAACGTAATGTCATGAATAATCTAAAGGATCATGTAATCTACTAAACTATTGGCTTAGTAGGAATTTCGCCTTTTACAATATTAATTACTTTTAAAGAGTTCCGGTGGATAACAGTTACACAAAAGGACATGACAGGTGGCTGTTACAGTTTAACACTAATAACAACTGTTTACGGGTGACTGAAGGAGAACTGGTAGCGTTTACGCTTTGCTGATCTAAGCTTTCTACGTTGAATATTGTATTTTTGAAGCGCAAGCATGAAAGAACTCGATAACTAAAAATCCTATCGTTACAACGGTGTCTGATGAAACTTTCTTTAAAACTGCTAAAATTTCATCGCCTCTCTTGTGCTGACTTGTTCCACCACGAAAACTGGATTCCATGAGGTCGGTGAGAGCTTGAGCTCGTCCTTTCTCAGCAGCAAATAGGGCTTCAACGATATTACCTTGTTCTTCGAGAACTCTACTCACACCCGTATACGCGTCTTGATACTGATCTCGAAAATTAACTTTCCATTCATCTTTAGATTTTAGAAGTATTCTCAAGGAATTGCTTAAGTCTATACTAGTTTGGTAATGTTCAACGGCTTTTGGCAGTCCACCCTGCAACTCAAAAACACATCCTAATGGATAGTAGGCCATAGCCTCTAAGGATTTGTCTTCCACCTCTTTGGCAATTTTGAGCGCTACGTTGTATAAATTGTTGGCCTTTATCAAATCTCCCAGAGTTAGATAAGCATTTCCAAGATTGCCATTAGCAACACCCTCCCCACGCTTGTCTCCTACTTCCTTGGCTATTTTAAGATTTAGGTTGTGGTACTCTATGGCTTTTTTGAAATCACCTAGACGGTAATAAGCATTGCCAAGATTACAATAACCTAAACCCTCCCCATACTTGTCTCCTACTTCTTTAACTGTTTTAAGATGTAGGATGTCGTACTCTATAGCTTTTTTAAAATCACACAGACAACAATAATCACTACCAAGATTGCTATTAGCACCACCCTCCCCATGCTTGTCACCTACTTCTTTAGTTATTTGAAGATGTAGGTTGTGGTACTCTATGGCTTTTTTGTAATCACCCAGACATTTATAAGCATTGCCAAGACTGCCATAAGCAACACCCTCCCATGCTTGTCTCCTACTTTTTAGCTACTTTAAGATATAGGTTAATGTACTCTATGGCTTTTTTGAAATCACCCAGACTCCGATGAGTAATGCCCAGGTTACCATAAAGTTTACCCTCCCTATACTTGTCTCCTATTTTTTTCACTATTTTAAGAGCTAGGTTGAGGTAATACATTGCTTTTTTAAAATCACCCAGACTCCGATACGCAACCCCAAGATTGTTGTATGCGTCGCCCTCCCCATGCTTGTCTCCTACTTTTTTAGCTATTTGAAGATGTAGGTTCTGGTACTCTATGGCTTTTTTAAAATCACCCAGACTCCCATAAGCATTGCCAAGATTGCAATAAGCATGACCCTTCCCACGCTCGTCTCCTTCTTCTTTAGCTATTTGAAGATGTAGGTTGTAGTACTCTGTGGCTTTTTTGAAATCAGCCAGACTGCAATAAGCATTGCCAAGATTGCCATAAGCACCACCCTCCCTATGCTTATCTCCTACCTCTTTAGCTAATTTAAGATCAAGGTTGTGGTACTCTATGGATTTTTTTAAATCACCCAGTTGGTAATAAGCATTACCAAGATTGCCATAATTGTTACTCTCCTCATGCTTGTCTCCCTGTTTGTAGAAGTCTATGACTTTCTTGACATCACTTGAACTTGTATTACCATGGTCATAGCTAATATGATCTTTTTCCTCCATGAACTTATCTCTCACTTCTTTGATAGACTGCATTCTTAATGACAACAAGATCCTATAATTTTTGTCAATCTTCTTCTATGTTAAGGTTTTAAAAATGTGTAAAAAACAAAAATGATTATTTTTCTGATCACATTGGTATAATAAATAGGCCAGTTTTACAGCTGCTTGCTTGGTTCCCAAGCCTTTGAACAGGAGTGTGGCTAGAGGTGACCTGGTTATGACACAAACGTTGCCGCTTTTAAATGCAAATTACTTTATTATTTATAATACCGGTACTCACTAGATACTGGTCTCTATCACAACAAGGTCACCTTCAGCCTCACTCCAAATCAAAGGCTTGGCAACTAAGTACACAACTGTAAAATAGCCTATTACATGTGGGAAGGCCTGCGTTTAAAGTAGATATTTAATCAACATTCAGTCTCTAGTAGTAAATCTACACATCACAAAGAGTTTTCTTTCATGTGCTACCTCAAATTTTAATGCAAAATATCTAGGTGTAAATTCTTCTTTCCAAAAACCAGGAAGCACTTACTCAATTTTTAAATTAATATATAGCTTTAACATCCGACTAATGTTTTACAGTAGAGGAAGAAATGAGTCTAGAAGACTAATATGTGCCTTTGAAAGTTCTATTTGTCCATAGGAAAATGTGACGAAAGTTTACTAGTCTCTTAGTAATAGAAAAAATTTAAAGGGGAGAAAATTAGCATAATATATATAAACATTACCAAGCTTCTTTTTCTGGCTCATTTTGGAGAGATCATCTACCCAAATACCATGTATAAACTGGGTGAATTTAAGTCTTTTAACTAAACTAATGTACCAGTTGTGGCATGGATAGTATGGCTAGGTCATGGCTCAATGGAGCGTATCACTATTAAGTTATGACCTATTTACTTTTCCCACATTTTTAATCACACACACTAAAAAGTATGAGCTGACAAGTTCCCATCATAACTAATACCCTTCTTCAAATCAGTTTTCTCCCTTAAAATGTCAAATTATGGAACATTTCCATTACACCCAAGGTTAAGAACTTAAAATTCCTTAAAAGGATACGGCTAATCCCTTATCACACCAAGTAATTGCTTCTTCAAATCTCTTCAGTTCAACACAAGCAGTGGCTCCTGTAGGCAACAACACAAAGCAGCATATAATTAATGTAGCTCAATAGCCAGAAACCTGATTGAAAGCTAAATCATTACAGACCATGAAAAAAAAACAGATTTGCTTTTGATAATTGAAACTTATCTAAGAACATTTGAATTGGGACTGACAATTCCCACAAAATCACTAAGAGATATAGATAGAAGATAATACATGCAATGGGAGAATGGAACAATGAAACCCATTTTTTAAAATTTTTATAGTATAGTACATTTTTTAGTTAATCTTTTTAAAAATAGGTTAAATACAAATTAAAAAATATATATATATATATTTGATAATAATCCTAGATTCCTTTTTGTTTGAGTCAACATACTTGATTGAATCAATCAGTTGATAATTGATTTCTGGGAAGTGACTCAAACTAAAGTTTTAAGTTCACTAAGAATAAGATTTACTCATGCAGTCTCTTTAATTACATTATTATTACATGTTTTTAATAGCACTTGAAGTTGAGTTATACTTGATGAATGAGGAATGTTTCCTGACAGTTAAGTTAAGTTAAGTTAAGTTAAGTCCTTACTTTTTTTCAAAACAGCTAGACAGTGACTAAACATATCTGACACCACTACCTCACTCACTGAGCAAAAGGAAACTAAAATACTCCTGCTGAAATTTTGCTGTGCATTGACAGCATTGAGATCTTCATCCAACTCAAAATAGTATTCTCATCATAATGGAAAGTCATGGCACAGCAGTCAAGAGCTGGATTCAAATGTACATCAGGGCTGTCTTGACCTCTTAATGAAAGTCAATTGAGACAAGATATAACTTCATATAACCTTAGAGTGTTAAGTTCTTTTTTTAATTATTATTATTATAGCACCGCTAACATTTCTAACCTCTCACAATTGCCTTGAGGAAAGTTGGATTTAACTCATTGGCAGCTTCTGCATCCCTCAGTGAATCCTGGTGATTTCCTGTTTGAAAATAAATATCTCTGATTATCTGTTCATGTAGCAAACCCACCACCTATACAATAACTTAAGGAAAAACTTGTGAATTGCTCTTTGTATGTTTGAGAGGCCAAGATAAGGCATATACATTTTTTCTGATTTTTTATTTTTAGACATATATTCAAAATTATCACCTTTTTCAGAAAAACTACTGAAAGCCCTTGCTGAGGACAGAAAAATACACATTAAAGCTCTCATCATCTTACCAAGCTTAAAATGTGCAATTGCCCTGTTGTTGTACAGTTTGGCCTTCAGTTCTTTGTCATTGCAGTTCATTCTAATTCCTTCTGTGTAAAAGTGAATAGCATTGATGAAATCTCCTTTCTTGAAGGCCTCATTACCCTCATTCCTATAAATATCAGCTGTGGCTGCAAAAAAAAAAAAAAATTATTTATGTCAAAATCTGTGGTTGTAGTTAATTAGTGTATAAGCAAGCTGCCAAGATCTGGAGATTTAAAACCTGCAGATTTTTCCTTTTGTGCCAGCTGCCACTTCTGCACCTGCCCGATTTGAAGCATCCCCTGAAAACCTTAGATGATGTCTACAGTCTCACAGATGGCCCCACTCACAGGACAAACCCCACTCAGTTAGTTTATGAAAGACTTTTTTCAGTTGGAAGCTCAACCAATCAGACTCAGTTGCATGCTGTTATTGTCCAGGAGAAAGCATAATCCCCTCTTTGGAACCCAAAATCTAAGTGCAATCAAGAAAATTAAGATAAGAACCCCAAGATAACCATAATAAAATTGGACATGGGAAATCTGGAGTTCAAATGTTATATTTCTGTGAGGAAGTGACCCAAATCCCCATTTTTCTTGAATGTTTGAAGACCCATGTGGAAAACCAAGAGTCTTATTCTGTTTCTGTGAGCTCTGATAATCAGAGAGTTGGCAAAACTGTAAGTGTAAAAGAGTCTACTGCTTTGATTTCATTTAGATGGTTAATGTCAGTCAATAAGATCCAAATGTTGCAATCGTACAAACCAGAAGCAGTATTACCTATAGACAAATAGTTATGATATATAAATGATAAGAATAATATTAAGATGAGATTAATATTTATGATGATGCTAATAATGATGAGAATTAAGTGTCACTCAATCTGAAGCAAACCCCTTGGCATTTAAACTTTTGGAGATCGGTTTCTAAAAATTCCTATCCCTTGGGCAAAATATGGGTTTAAATGCCCCACCCAAATTTTTGTAAAAAGCAAAATAATTAGCAACTGTGACTTTCAACAATTGACCAAGCTTTAAAACTGAGAACTTGTGCACTTATTTATTCTGAGCCATTTGTTAGTGAAAGTGCACTTAATGTACCTTAAACACCTCCATATTCAATGATATATAACAGTTGCATTGTAGTGGAAAGTCTTGACACTTCTGGTTCAAATTCCCCAATACCAGTCAGGCAAGGTTCAATCCCCCCCTCCTCCCCCCCTCCCCTTTGCCTTGGATGATGATCAAAAGCCTGTGGGTTGCTCGAGGAGAAGGGAGGGGATGTTGAAGCTTTCAAATTGACTGCTGCATTATAATGAGAAGATGATGATGATGATGGTACTTTGTAATGATGCAAACTTACAAAATGGATGCTGTATAATGATCAAATTAAGTCTTTACTTATTATAACTTTGTGTAATTGCTTTAAACTTTTAGAAAAGAAAATAACAAAGGTTTCTGTGTCATAGATCCTTCTCAATGAACAGCATAATGTAATCATAGAAGAGAGTCATGACCAGCCAAATATCCTTTAAAGTGGTCATACACTGTATATATCCTTCTCTACATTTAATAACATTCTTGAAACTGGTGGAATAGAAATTGTTCTAACAATAACTGAAGCCAAAGTTCAACATAGCTCACCTCGTAAAGTGTCCTCATCAAAATCTGTGCATTTTCTTTGTCAGGTAAGTCTTCATTTTCAAATGGCACTTTCATTGGACTTCTTCCTTTAGCCATAGCAACTGTAAGAAGATTCTTCTTACAAAGTTGCTGTTTTAAGTTATCCTGGCCTGAAGAAAGGATGGTTGCAAATGGTAACAAACATCAACTCAACATATTACCCAAAATAAATGTTTTTTCCCTTTTGGGAATGGGAAGGATACATAAACACAAAATCACAAGCAATTAATATTAATGGAATTATTAAAGCAGAAAAAGAACAAAAGATATATATATATTGAAGAAAACAAGCATTTATTTTTGAATGAACAGTAATCCACTTCTCATTATGATAAATTTCAAGATTTATAAAGTACATTCCCAATTGACTGAGATAAATTGGTTAAACATCAACATCTTTGTGTTGCAAGTTCATATAATTTGTTACAGAAAACAAAAGATATCTTAATTAGCAGATGACAAAAGGTAAAACTTTACTCCGGTACCAATCAATCATTACCAGTTGATGAATTGGATTCCTAAAAATCGGAAGCAGTTAATTGAAAGGACGCTTGCTATACTGAATCACTAACTGACATTTGAAGAAGAATCGATTTGTCTCAATATTAAACAAGGAAATCAGTATAACAGTACAGTTTGGATGGAGAATATAAGTAGTCTATCCAAAATACAAAACTATTTTCAAACTATAAAATAATAAACATAAACATATGACATACACTGGACATGTTTATCGTTTTTTGATCAAATACATCGTAAATACAGGAGCAAATTAATTTATACAAATATACGCCCTACACGAAAGCTTGTGCAATTAAAACACGATTGTAAGCAATTGCTCCACATGAGACGCAAACGAAACTGAAAGTGTTTCGATCATCAGCGCTTAATTGCACTAAATCAAAAAATTAAAAAAAGAAAATTAGGAAAGATTAAAAACATTTGAAAGAGAAAATGTTAACTAAGAAACTCGAAATAGAGGTATTTACCAGATAGTCAAAAATCTGATACAACCATGCGTTCTTACCTCGTCGCGGAGATGAAAGGCATGTTTGACTGTTTAAGAGCCTCGCTTCCTCACTCCGACTTGGAAATGATTCAGAGAAAGTCAATAAGACTAATAAAGTGCCAAGAGACACTCGGAAGCTATGTTATAGAACGAAGAACCTCAATAGCGCGTCGTGAAAAGAAAAGGAAAGGTCGTTCGGCCCATAACTCTGTGCAAGCTTGAAGCCGGAAGTGCTTCAGCTGAAATTGAAAGAAGAGCCCGTTTGGCTGGCTCTCGTAATTTGGCTTTTTCATTTGTAAACAAAGTCTGAAGTTTGGCCAAATTATTGCTTTGAGGTTAAAAAAGCTGTTACTTTCATGCATCGCAGTCTTTCAATATTGATAAATATTAAAAACATAGTAAAGAATGTTATAACTTTTTTTACATGGAAATGAAAGAGGAAAGGTGAATTTCTAACCGACACTAAACCCTAAAAAAAAATTGATCTACATCATAAAGAACTCCCGGAAAGGTTTAAAGATAATTTATTTGCAATAGTTACAAATCAAAATTACGACGAGAACAAACTGCTAAAAACTGATTACACAACGTTTTTATATACATAAGAATTAAAATATTTCTCGTGCGCTTCTCGCGTTCTTCCAAGGTCCACTACATTTTTACATCTCACTTTTACATGTTCTCATTAGCACTCTTTACATAACACATGGAGTAAGTCTTTCTAAAATTAGAGACAAATTCATTTCGGAATATATTCATAAACATTTTGCTGCAGCGTGAACATAAAATGTTATTTATCTTAGTCTTATTTTGTGATTGCATACCCTTTAGAGGACTTTAGAGCCCGGAGGGTTTGTGGCACCGCACTGGTTCAGATACGTTTCAAGTGTTTTTTCCCTTAAAGACCTTTTTGGATTTTCTTTATCTGGCAGTGACATACCCGAGTATTTTCAAGAGTTGTGCAGTATTTTGACGAGGCCGTAGGGCGAGTCAAAATACAAACAAGGAGTGAAAATACTAAGCAATACTACACACCAAAAAGTCTTATAACCTATTTATTATCCAATTGCTTTTTTTATCCTGCCAAGTCTTTCTGCTCATTTATCATACGGCGGGAAAAGTAAGGCGGATAAAGAAACGAAGCGTGCGCAGCCAACCGCCTAAACAGATTTTTTTACTCTACAAAATAACCAACAGTACACACATGGGATATATATTCACGTTATTTGAAACAACTTTGTGCAGTTGGATTATAAACCAAATTATCTTGTTGTACCCCTCACCGTTGCAGCACCAAAGTTTCCTTACCAACTAAACCCATTTATTCATACGTTGCTGATACGTTGTAATAATCCTTTGTTGATGCGAGGCCAAAAGCAACCAATATAAACCTAATAGACTACATTTGGAGTAGAAATCTCCCAAAAGCTTAGCATACTTTGTATATATGTGTATAACTTAACATCACTGACATACTTCTCGAATACTTCACATAACATTAATCTCTCCCTCACTTTCATACAATCAGCTATACTTTGTATGATTATATCTCATTTATACATGTTTCCTAAGACACTAAGCCTAAGAGGTAAATCTTAGAAACACAATCAACAAGCATTCCTTCGAAATAAGAGAAAACGAGTGGCTTCGGGGACAAGAGTGGGTACCCTGTGATTTTCCTTTCCTTTCTCACTCCAGAGGAATGTGGTTACAAAGGATGTTCCTGTCGTCGGTGAAAAGCTTTTCCCAAAAGAAACTCATTAAGGAAATTCTAAAAGTGGTGGTGCCAAAAACTGCCAAAAGTGTGTTTATAGTATCCATATCCAAGGAGTTCTTATCTGTATATGCTCTATGCATCTCGTGGATTTTCACACTCACAGCCAAAAGGGTAGCCATAAGATTGATAAGGGTAACAACGAAAAATACGAAGACAGTTATTTTATAAATAACAAATACGTAAATGGAATCACTCTGCTTCAAAAAATTTAACTTGGTGTAATTTAGAAATCCTACAGCCAAAGTTCTGAGAATATAACTTACTATCAAGAAAAAAATTATGACCCGAGATGATGAAGACTCGATAGAAATGAATAAGTTGATGTATCGACACAAGGCGAGGGTGAGAAGAAGAACCAGAGTCAAGAACGAAGGAACAAACATGAGCTGATATAGAATTGCCTTGTAACCGAGGAACTGTGGAACATTCCGTAAAGCAGCTATGAAGATAGCGGTGAAAATACACAGCGAAGCCAGCCACACTATTATTAGCTCTTCCGAAAAAGGGAAAGCGGCCTCTTTTTTGCACTGATATGCGATGGATTGGACGCTGAAACAAGCAACATCACGAATCATGTACAGAATTGCCCCAACTAGTTGCCATAGCAACAACAAACTGAAGGTCACTGAATAACAGGGATTTCTTTGTCTTGGCCAGACTAGTATTATTTTGGCTGATTTCCGTAGCAATGGCTG